ATCCCGGGAGAGACATATTGGAAATGGCCAGTTGTGTCTTATTTTTGTTTCAGTCACCGCAGCGCTGAGATGATTGGATTGGGTGAAGGATGTGGGCACTGGCAGGCGAGGGGAAGTTCCAGGAGAATGGGGGAGCCAGCGGGGGCTGGGGGAGTGGAGATGGAATTGTTATTTGGGGGTGTGTGTTGGGAGGGTGAAGGCTGGTTGCTAGGCTGAACAAACAACTGTGACTCATATGTTGGCTCGGGGACCCGCAGTGGGCTGGCCCTCTGCAAAGTGGTGAGATCAGCACAGTGTAGTTTTGGCATCCTCTCCCCCCACCCCATGCCCCACTCCCTGACCTTGCCACCCTGACTCCCCTCCCAAGCCCGATGCCCATGTGCTGTGCCGGGTGTAGGAGTCTTTAACCTGGGGAAGGGTGCCATGGAGGATTGCAGGGGTCCGTGAACTTGGATTTGAGAAAAGATCTTAATTTTCACCAACCTCTAAGTGAAATTTAGTATTTTCTTCAGTCACTGAAAAACATGATTCTGAGAACGGGTCCACAGGCTTCACCAGATTGACTGCTCAAGGGGCGCAGGACACAGAAAGGTGAAGAACCCCATATCTGGTGGAAAGGCCACCACAAATCTGTCTCCTAGGATTAAAAGGTCCAAGAAGCCTTGGGGTCCAGGCTGGCTCCCTACTTACTAAGCCATATGACCTCGGGCAAGGGATAGGATCATAGAATTAGAACTGGAACCAGGGACCTTGTAGGACAGACTCGAGCACCCCCATTTTATAGATGAGGAAACTGAAGCCCAGAAAGGAATGAGCAGTCCAGGGTGACTGAATCAGTATTCAAACCCAGGTCTTCTGACTCTAAGACGCGTTCTATCCAGGACACCACTTCTCTTTTCTGGGCCTGTGTCCATCTCTGTAAAATGACGGTGTTGGACCAGATAATCTCAAAGGTCCCTTTCATTTCTAATTCCTATTATCTGTTTTGTGGACTTTAAAAAAAAGTTTTTGACTCAGTGCCTTAGTTTCCTCCTCTGTAAAACACAGATTATGGTTTGTGTACTATCCATATTGCAGAACCAAGGATTGAACGTAGGAGAAATTATTTTGTAAAGTACAAAACTCACACAATCACAGCTGGCAGGCCACATGGTACCAAAGAATGTGAGTGGATGCTGAGGGCCTGGGGTTCAAATCCTACCTCTGCTGTATCTGCCCATGTGACCTACAACAATTCACTTCACCTCTTTAGGGCTCAGTTTCCTTATCGTAAAATGAAGGGGTTGAACTGAGGTATCTGCCACCTTTAACTCCAAGTTCAATGTCTCAATAGTGATAATTATATTAATTTACTGCATTGACCAATACAATTAATTACATCAATTAACAGAATAGAATTACATTATTATAATCAATAGAATTGATTACATTGATACAATTCATTACATCAATTCATATAATACAATTGACTACATTGATTTTGTTAATATAATAAATTATGTTTATATAATTAACAAAATACAATTAGCGTATAAATAATTTTTGCTGTTTAACTTCGGTACTTTAAAGAGCGGAAAACCCGAGGCCTTGAATGGGGAAGTGGTTTGTCTAAGGTTGGAAGGCCGATCAGCGAGAGAGGTGGGACCTTAACCCAGCTGTCCTGCCTTCCAGCCTGGCGTTCTTTCCACCGTGTCACATACTGCTGGGTCTCATTTCCACTGGGCCTTGCTCTGGGCAGGCTCAGTGAACAAAATCCTCAGCAGTTCTAGCTGAAGCTGCTAACCCCTCCTGGGGGACTCCTCTTTCCCTAAGGAATCTTGCACATTGAAAAGCCTTTACTGTCCAAAGGAATGAATCTTGATGGGTGGAATTTCAGGCCGTGTGCAAGGCAATGGGGAAGATCTTTGGGGAGAGAGGCTGTCAAGATCATATTTGTTAAGTCTTAGTGCCTGGAATACAGTAGGCACTTAATAAATGCGTGTTCCCTTTCTTCCCCTTCCTTCCAATCACTATCCATGGGATGATGTGGGATGATATCCCTCTTTTTTTTCCCCACAAAACTGGTGAGGGAGAAGGTGGGGGGGCGAGACCTTTCCTTATTGGCTGTTATTTCCCACCAGGTAGCACTGTGTTGAGGAAAAAGCTCTGGATTTGGAGTTACAGGACCTGGGTTTGAGTCTCGACTCTTACTACCTCTGTGGCCTTGGCAAATCACTTGGTTTCTCTGGGCCTCAGAATTCTTTGTAAAAACTCGCAGGCTGGATGAGGTGACCTCTAAGGGCCCTTCCAGGCCCGGATCTGTGAGCCAAACGATGCCACAGATCACCACAATACAGCTGTGCATCTCAGGCAGGGTCCAGATGGCTGAGACCCGGGGTGAAATACGGCCAAGGAAACCAGGCTCTCACAGAAATGCGATGACTTGCCCAGGGCCACCCAGCCAGCAAGCTTCAAGGACAGGATTGGAATCCAGGCCTTCCCCCTTCCAAGTTGCTCTGGGAGTCCAGAGACTGGGGATGAATCTGGGGCTTGGTCTTCTCCTCTGTACAAGCAGGGGGTTGGTCCAGATGGGTTTTGAGACCTGCACTTGGCTGATTTAGGGTGTCTGGCTCCCTTCCCCTTCTCTCCTTGCCTGGAGAAGGGAAGCACAACCCATCTGCGCCCCCCTCCCCACAACTTCCCAGCCTTCTGTCAACAAGGTCAGGAGGTATCTCAGAGCTTGTACTGAGGAATTGGGGGGGGGGCCTTGGGAACCCTGGCTGGACTAGGGAGAGACTAATCATCGACTTAGTAGAAGCCAGATCAGTGTAAGCAGACAGGATGCTGTTGCTGGGGGGCTGTTGAAATGATGGGGTGTCTCTAAGGGAAGAGGAGGCTCAGGGGTGGGGGAGACAGGCTTGTCACATAGTGAAGACAGTGATCGGGGTAGCAAGAGGAGAGGCTATGAGCCAGAGGCCAGAGATGGGCATAGCACTGAAGGCCTTTTCAGCTCAACAGAGCAAAGCAAGATTTTCCCCTCCTTCCCCAGAGCCTGGCTACTTTGCATGAGCCCATTGGAAGGGATATGATGACAACCAGTTAAAAGTATTTACTAAATGCCTGTCATGTGCCAAGCACTGTGGCTGGACCTGCACCCCCCAGCAATCCCTGGGTCCCTGGGTGGGCGTTGGGGGGGGGATGACGATTATTTCGAAGGCCTTCTTTTTCAGTGAGAGCATGTGCTCTCCCTCACGGGATATCTGACCTCATCTCAGAAGCGTTGGAAATCTAAACAGCTCATGGTCCACAGAGATTTCTTGGCCAAGGAAAAATATGAAGTCTCGCTTGATGTCACAGCTGAAACAAGGAGTGAGCTCAACAGAGAACCCTTCAAAATTCCACAGAATCACAGGATTTCAGAGCTGGAAGGATACTGGCCATCTGGCCCAACCCCTACCTGAAAGGACTCCTCACTAAACACATCCAGAAAATGGGTATTCAGCCTCAGCTTGAGGACCAGTGACGGGGAATTTGTGACTTCTGGACAGCTCTAATTTTTAGGAAAATTTTCCTGATGTAATACCTAACCTTATATTAGGTTGAATTTTTGTAATGATTGATTTCAAAAAATCTTTATCAAACAATTACCATGTATGAGGCAGCATGGATAGAAAATAGTGTTGGACTTGAAGACCTGAGGCCTGCTAGCCGTGTAGACATGGCTAAGCCCAAATTCTCCAGCACAAGGGACAGAGAAGCTATCTGTATCGGTATAAGATGCAGAGTACACCTGCAGAACCTTCCTCAGAGTCGTGGCACTCAAAGGAGATCCTGTACGTCAATCCCTTTCCAAATGGAGAAGAGCTGTACACACACCAGTTGTGATCAATATTAATAATCATATTAGCAGAGTTGGGCCTCGAATCTCCAATCCTCTGATTCCAAATCCAGTGTTCTTTCCGAGGCACCAAGTTCCTGCCTTTGCCTACCACCCTAAAAAGGAGATTCTGTCTTTAAATGGACCTCTCCATAAAAGAATTGAGTCTCAATTTCAAGGTTGATTGTCAATAAACGTGCTTGGCTAGGAAGCCCATCTCTTGCTTGATAGACGGATGCCCCCTAGTGGCCAAACGGAGTGGTGCCAAGCACGAAGTCTCGCGGAGACTCCAGGGACAGCAGCCTGCAGCCTGACCGTCCCATCCCAGCCCCCTATGGATGGCCTGGGTAGCTGCTGGCAGATGCTCTTGAGACCAAACACTTCCAGCACCCCAAGAATTCCAAGTGAAAAGTGCCAACACCCTAGAGCACATCATTGTGCAGCTTCCCTCTAAAAGACTGGTCAGAGACAGGTCTGTTTAAGACAGGGATGGGATGTGGGAATGCTTCCGAATTCTCTGGACAGACTGGCTGAGTCAGGAAGGGCACGGGGAAAGGCTCCGCACCCACTGTATCAAGGGGCACGAGGCCTGGAGCTTATTTTTCCCAAAGAGCAAGCGATAATGTCTCCTTCCTCCCCAGGGCAGTACCTTGCCTGAGATACACCAGGTAGTAAAAACGCCCCATTTTGGAAGCAAACCCAAGGCTCTCGGGGCTTCATGGGCATACAGTTCCCCCTACAAACTGTGGCTTTCCCCACGGGGTCTTGGAGTCTGTAAGGGGGATGTGTGAGCCTTCTTCCTTTGTTCCTGGGACAATCTGAAGACTCTGAAAGCTCAGATACCCTGGGGAATTTTTTAAGGGGGGAGGGACCACCACACCTGTGTGAGACTGTTTGGGCCCCACTCAGCAGTATCTGCAGCAAGGCATCAGAGTTCTGAAATGGTCTGGTGCCTTTCAAAATCATGTCTTCTTCTTGGTTACACGAATCAAACATCTCCTAAGGGCCTCCTGTGGGCATGCTAGCAACCGTGCCGCCAGGAACTGGGAATATGAGGTGCGACCCTGGCTAGCGAATGTAGCAAAGTGGCCGGGACCTTTGCCAGGAGGGAGGTGGGGAGTGAATGACCCAAAAGCCAGACCTGTTTGAGGACAGATGAGTTCTTATAGTTTTATTATATCATATGTGGGTGTATGTGTGTGTGTATATATATATATATATGTATACATAGAAGATCTGTTTTATGTACAATAATGGTTCTCTCCAACATTTCCACCAAGGCAATCTGTAACAATGGCTCTTTTCCCCCAAACCCAACTCAGGTGCAGTTAAGTGCTAAATGAGAGTCGTCCCTTTCGATGAAAGCCATTCTGCGCTTCCATCTTTTGGGTCCTTCTTGGGAACAGACGAGGTAACGTGGCTCACACAGTTCACAATGGCCAGCTACGGCAGGTCTGGAGGCGGGGACGGGAGCAGAAATAAGCCCAAAGATAGAGAACAGAAGCTGGGCGTTTCCCGGGGATTGATTAGAGCTTCCATGAGGACAGGACATTGTGCGTGATTATCACATGGCTCTTTCATTGGGGAGCAAGAGCTTCCTGTCCTCTGAGGTGAGACTGATGGCACTGGAAGGGGAGAAGAGGGCCTAGCCAGCTCAGGCCGCAGCAGGGGAAGGGGCAGGCCTCAGTCACTTCTTCTCCTCCTCTTCCTTGGCCTCCTCTTTCTCAGGGGTGCTCTGCTTCAGTTTATAGTCCGCCAGGGCAGCCTTGATCGCGTCTTCGGCAAGCACTAGGAAAGAAGGAAGGAGAGAAGGAGGAAGAGAGAAAGAAGAAAGGAGGGGAGGGAGAAGGAGAGGGAAGAAAGTAGGGAGGAGAGAAGGCAGGAAGAAAGGAGGGAATGAGGGAGGAAGGGTGGAAGGAAGGGAGGGAGGGAGGAAAGGGGAAAGGAAGGAGGGAGGGAAGGGAGATGAAGGCTGACATTTTGAAACCTGGGCAAACTCGGGACCCTATTAAAACACCAAAGGGCAGCAGGCATGCAGCAAAGAGGCGCCAGCCGCCTCACCATCGCCCAGTTGGCCCCATCTGAGTTAGTGGTCTTACTTTTTTGACTTTCTCATTTCAGAGTCTAGGTCAGTTTTGTAAAATCCCCTTAGGCCACTGGTCCTGCTCTGAGACCTCCGTCCATTGCTCTGATGCTCAATGTCCACCTCACTCATTCATTCATCCAATAAACATTTATGAAGGGTGCCTTGCTTTGCTCCCCTGGCCAGTGAGGTAACGAAGCCGGCACCTCTGTCCAGACTGCCGCAAAGCCTCCAGCCAACCGCTGGATCAGAGCACAGTCAGTTAGGGACAATCAGAACCAGCTGTTAGACCAGACCCAAAGAGAGCTCACTAACGGTCATCTTGAATGGAGATCGGCAGTCGAGTATCCTAGGGACTGATCTATCCTTGGCCTTATGCTGGTCACTATTTTTATTTAACATTTTGATATTTCCCATTAACTCTGGACAGCATGCCTGTCACATCTGTAGAGGACACAGAGGCCGGGAATGGGAGGGAAGCTTACACACTGGACTAAAAGTCAGGATCCCCAAAGACTGACAAGATGAAACCAACTGGGATAAAATGTGACAGAGAAAGACGTCAAGTCATAAACTCTGGTTAAGGAATCATTTCACAAACTCACATGGGGCACCCGCAGCCAGATAACTTGAGTAAGAAGATCCAGGGGTCTGGCAGGGGTGGGGAAGCTGCAGCTTCAAGGCCACAGGTTCCCACCTCTGGGGGGGGTCTGAGCAACCTGGGCTACGGGCACCCCCCAGTGCAACAGTCTCAGGCTGCCCAGTGAGGCTGGGTCCAGATGAGGACCCAGTCCCAGGGGGCGCCTGCAGTCCTGGACTCAGTCCCCATTCTCCAGATGCCAGAGGGCATTTAGAAGAGGAGAGCCCCACGAGGATGTTTGGCCTTCAGGAGAGAAGACTTGGGAGGGACACAGCTTCTTCAAGTACAGGAATGAAAGAGGTGCATGCTGACTCAGAAGCCCTGGGTTGGAATTCTCCCTTAACCTCGTGACCTCACTTCCTCGCCTATAAAAGCAGGGGGCTGAGCTCGTGGCCTCTGAGGGCCCTCGAGGGGGAGAAGAGGGTCTGGACTTGGGAGCCCTCTCTGTGGCTTCCCCAGGAAGTGACCCCCCTGTCCTCTGCCCAAGGTCCTCACCACTTCCCACCCACACAACCACAAAAGCCTCCCGAGCAGTCTCCCCTAGAAGCAGACCCCTCCTCCATTAACTCCATGGCTCCCTACTGTCCCAGGATCAAACACAGACTCTACTTAGCTTTAAAAGCCTTCACCAGCTGGCCACTCCCCCTTCCACACCGCGGGATGTGGCCACACTGACCTTCTCTGCCCCTGGTGTGCGTCCCTGTGTCCCGTCTTCTCCCTCCACAGGGCCTTTGCCTCAGCTGTGTCCCCTGCCTGGAATGCTTTCCTTCAGAGTCCCTCTCTTCCTACAAGATGCAGCTTAAGCACTGCCTACACCAGGCAGACTTTCTGAATTCCTCTACTGCTGCTGCCCTCCCTCCCAGAAGCCCCTGGGCGCCTTTCCCGATCTGTCTATACTTATTTATGTCCTTGCTGATGGCCCTGCTGTGGGCCGGGATCCAGGCACTCATATGGCACATGCAGGTACAGGACAAATGATGGAGTTAGCCTGCTCAGTGCCTGGAGGACCCTAACTGTTCACAAGTGTTTCTTTCTGTTGACCTTCAATCTGCATCTCTGTCACTTCACCCACGGCTCCTTGATCTCCCCCTGAGCCCAAGCAGGCCCAGCCCAGACCTGCTCCACACGCAGGCTCTTCAAACCCTGGTGGGGTCTCCTGCTATGGCTCAATACCCCCACTTCTCCCCTGCCCCTGCCCCGTTCCTACAATTAGTCTGATGCACTGACCACCCAGCAGCTACTTAAAATCTAGGTGCAAAATGGAGGGCAGGCTGGAGATCCCCACAGCAGCATTTCCTAAGCCCTGGGATGCTCTTACAACAGAGGACAAGGTCATAAGTGAAGGAAGCCAGGATATGGCTGCTCCAGAGCAGACCTTGGGGCAGGCACTTAGCCTGCCTCAACCCAGAACTCGAAGCGAGGGCCCAGGATGGCCCCGAGGGGAGGAAGGATGCAGGGGCCCATCCTGGACAGCCTCCAGCAGAGGTGGCTGGAGAGAGGCTTTCCACTCCCATTCAAGCTGGATTAGGTGGCTGCAGAGAACCCTTGTGACAGAGGGTGAGGAGCCCTGGGCTGGGTGCTGGAAAGGTCTCTGTGACACACCATTCTAGGTAAGGGAGATCCTAGGGAGAAGCCAGAATGAAAGGCTAAGGATCCTAAGTCCACTGCCCAATGGTCATGGCCAATGTTGGTCTACTGGGGAAAAGTTAACAGAAAGAATGGTGAAGGAAGGGATGCTGGCCTTAGATTGGCAGCTTTAACGCTCTCTAGTCTCAATAAAAGGTTCTTCTCAAGGTCCAGATAGTGCCTTTCCTTTCTCCAGGGCCCGTTCTACTCTTACTAAAGCAGAAACCAGAATCTCAGTATCCAGTGAACAGCACAGGCCTCGCTCACTCCCAGAACTGCTCCTTCGTAAAGCGAGAGGAGGGAGGGAGGATGGAAGAAGCAGTGATTTACTACCGGGGGTGAACTGGAAAGTCACGTAGACCTATTTTAAAAAGTGTCTCCTCTAAGTAGAAGCCGAGTATGGGAATGTGGCAGGAACACAGCTGGACTCCCACAGCCCATACATGGAAGCCAACGCCCCAAAGGGCATCTGGGCAAAAAGTGATGAGAAACAGGACATGAGATCAAAGAACAAAGCTGACCTGTAAATCTTGTTTAAAAAAGCCAGCCAAAGAGCTGAGATGGACACGCCCTGGGAAGGCTGTGATCTCATCAGACAAGCGGGCTGCTGGGGACCTGGGACTGCTCATGGCTTCCATGTTTCCCCTTCAAAGTGGGAACTGCTGCATCCCACCCCCCCCCCCAGCCCTGACGGCCAGACACCGTGACTCAAACTCCCAACCTCTGCCTCTCTGTACCCCCTCCCATCTGCCCTATACACGGAGGCCATGTCATCGGACATCACACAAGGCAGGAGGTCTGTGGCATTTCTGCCGGGCTGTGACTTACTGGAGCAGTGCAGCTTAACTGGAGGGAGACACAATTCCTTGGCAATATCGGTATTTTTGATGGTTAAGGCCTCTTCCACCTGAGAGTTGTAAATGAAAAGACACAAGCATCAGATGTGGCAAAGGACTCGTCTTCTCTTACAGGCCATATGAGAAATGGGAAGAAAGGAGGACCAACCTTTGACACGGGCTCATTTTTTAAAAGGATAGCCTGTGTTTTCAAATCCACTTCAACCCCCCAGCATTGTTCTTTATAACAAAGTTGTGGGATTTTTGCTTAGTACCTAACAAACCAACGAACCAGGATAGTGCCGAAGCCCTACGAAGGGCTAGGCACAATTTATAAGTGTTATGTTCCTAGCCCATCCCTTTCACACCCTCTGTCAGAGTTTCTGAATGAGCAAAGGCTCTTTTCGGTCAGCAGTTCCAAGTATGAGTGAAGGAAATTAGACAATACGGGTGGAGAACCTGTGGGAACGTCTTAGGGATCTCTTTGAATCTAGAATTTTATAAGCAGCTAAAGAAATCAGAACTGGGAACACTCTTAGAGATTTCTGGTAGTTGTTCAGTTGTTTCAGCTGGGGTCTTCTTGGCAGAGATACTGGCTCGGGTTGTCATTTCCTCTCCCACTCATCTTACAGATGAGGAAACTGAGGCGAACAGGGTGAAGTGACTTGGCCAGGGTCACACAGCTAGTCAGTGTCTGAGGCCGGATTTGAACTTAGGAAGATGACTCTTGCTGACTCCAGGCCTGGTGCTCTGTGCACCCCCAGACCCACTCTTAAAGATCAGCGTCCGATTTAAATTTTACTTAAGGGAAACTGAGACCTAGAGAGAGGAAGTGATAACAGAGGTCTAGGCCAGACTCTACCTCAGGTCTTCTGATGTTCAGGCAGGTGAATTTCCCACTTCACCATGTCGACTCTCATACGGAACAAGTAACAGCATTTATTAAGCACCTACTACGTGCCAGGCACTTATGAGCATTAGCCACAACCAGAGGTCAGAATGTGCTGTGCATACACACAGGTGAAACTGTGAGTTCAGGAAAAATGGGAATCAACAGCAAGACGTCCAAGCGAATTTTGGAAACATGCAGCGTCTCCTCACTCTTCAGGTGGAAGCGCAGAGTTCTCCAGACAGGACTGCCCCTCCCCCATTACACAACACTCAGGGGGTGATACAAGTCAGCAATCCGCAGGCTAAGTAAGGCCTTGGAGGCCAGGCCCGCCCTTGGCTACGGCTGGGACATCTCTGATTCTGCCCTCGCCCTGAGAGGGTCCAAGAGCTTCTGAAGGCAGTGACCGTGGCTTCTGCTCAAAACTGGGGCAGGCCCCGGTGCATGTGCCAAGGCCTGGGACCAGCTTCTGATTTCTTTCAGAAAAGATGCCAGACTGCTGGCTGCTATGGCGAGTACGTTAAATAGATGGTGAAACAAGAAAATGTTAAAGGCCAAATGGAATAATTCCTCCCCCACCAAAAAATAAAAGCAAATTAAAACTGACAAAAACTCCCAACGAGAGCAGAGCCCATGGGTGGGAGAGCTCATCGTGGGAAGGAAGCCTGTCAGCGGCCTTACCGTTTTTCCTTTAACCCACTCGGTGGCCAGGGAGCTTGAAGCGATGGCAGAGCCGCAGCCAAATGTCTTAAACCGGGCATCCACAATCTTCCCTTTTTCATCCACTTGGATCTAGAAAAATAAAATGGGTCTGGGCTCCTTGGAGCACATCTCAGGGCCTGTATCCCTGGGGTGACTGGGGTCCCCAGGGCCTGTCTGGGCTCCATTTTAGGCATTAATGATAAACTCAATTTCATTCCAAAGTTATGCGTGAGAAGTCACTGGCCAACACAGACAGGCCTGCCTGAGAAGGCTCCTGACCGGACCATTTCCGTTCTACTTTCTAACCGCGCCCCCCCCCCCACCCCCCATCAGTCTCCTCTGCCTGGGGAGCCTACCACACTTAGCTGTGGTGCCAGTTTCAGGTTATGGCTTTTTCTTGTGTCCTGAGGCCTTTTCAGAGGCTCTCTGCCAACTTGTTTCTGCACTCCAAGATAAGACTGAAAACCTCTGGCAGGCAGACAAGCAGCCTCCCTCCCCACCATGATGAGGCAATTGCTGACCAAGCTGAACTCAAAAACGACCAAGTGAGACAGGGTTCTCCGAGCCCAATCCTGCCCCTTGACTCCTCAGAGGCTTAGGGGAGGTCACAACTCTGAAGAGCTCATCCTCACTCAAAGCAGCTGAGTTAGGATTAATTTATTCCAACAAAAATATTGTTCAACACCATCTATGTAACACCTAATAATTAATATTAGGCTTATGAGATCCTAGCTTTAGGGGTCATCTTGTTCAACAGCCCCTCCCCCAATTCGGGGCATGCCTCACCCTCTGCTAATGAACTTGAGTTCACGAATTCAGTGGAAGCAGAAACCTAGCTAATAAGAGAGAGGGGGAATGGCAGCAAGTCATTGTGACTTTTTTTAAAAAATTTCCCCCTAATGTATTTATTTATTTTTTAGTTTTCAACATTCACTTCCACAAGATTTTGAGTTCCAAATCTTCTCCCCACCCCATGATGGCCAGCACTGATTTCCCCTGGCACCCAACCTGTTCTCCTGTCTGTTCCCCCTCCCCCTTCCCCTTCTATTTTCTTGCAGGGTAAGATAGATTTCTATACTCACTGTGACTTTTTTTGGAAAGATAAACCCCACTCTTACCTGTAATTTCATGACATCTCCACAAGCCGGCGCCCCCACCAATCCAGTACCAACGTTTTTGGATTTCTTGTCAAGGGACCCCACGTTTCTGGGATTCTCGTAATGGTCAACCACCTGAAACAAGAGAATTGTAAAACAAACATAGGTATTCCAGCTACAAAGAAGGATTTCCTTCCCTCAGGGGGAGGGGAGGGGGCCAAGGCCTCTGTCCACCCTGCTACTTGTGACTTGGGGCCACACCAGGAAGCCAGCGCTCCATGAGGAATCCCCCCGCAACTGAGCAGCAACCTTTTGGTCTCCGGTTTCACCGAGGCTCACGTGGCTCAGTCCCTCGGGCTGGTTACTGTCTTACCGGGGGCACAAAGGTCCATGTGATTCTCAGCACCTTCTGACACCCTCACAGCCCAAGGGCGACTTCTGCCTGATTCACTGGTCACCACAGGCATGGGGGCTGGAAATCTGACTTCACTGTCTAGGGAACTCCCTGTACCAACGCAGGTGGGTACCTTCTCTGCCACTCTGAGATACCTGCCTAAAGCAGCAGAGTCAAACGCAAACAGGAATGGCCCTGGGCCACAAAATGCCTTCATTTTAAAGTGGGATATTATCCATTTGATTGTATTTTTATGGGGGTGCTGTGGGCCTGACACCCCGGCCTAAGGTGCTGAGAGGTCAGGCGCCCCACCCCAGGGCTTCCAGGCAGTCCATCTCTCACGGGTCCCCTGTGAACAGGACAGAGCACACGGCCAATGGCACCAGACACCAGGGAAGCTGGCGGACACGCTGAATAGATCCCTCCAGTGAAGAGCTAAGGAAATAAAGGGACATGAATCACAGGGCATCAGGGGATGCTGATGACATCATGGGTCCCCTGACGCAGAAAGAGGAATTGTCACTCGGACACTTCCGACCAGAAGCAGTAAGTCGGCCAAGGCCGCTCCCAATCCACCTTGGAGGGCCACAACATTGAAGGCACGTGCACATGCAAGGAGTCACAGAGGTGTGAGCCCTGTTACCTGCACTGGCTCCAACAGGGGCCCACGAGGTGCAACTACAGATTACTGTAATTGAAAACCCCACAAACAAGTATATGGCCCTGTGGCTGGGCCCTACCTCTGCTGTCCACTGAGGCTTTGCCTCTGGGTAATGCACGCAGAATTGTGCCTGTGAGGTGGGCCCAGGGAGGACACTCTGGGAATCTCCAGGTCAGGAGGCACACAGAGAAAATCATTTCCTCCTCACCTATCTGCCACAACTCACTTTAGAGCAAAACCCCATCGTCTAGCCATCCGAGTCTTCATGTCCCCCAGATAGCTCAGAACAACTTCTGGCTGGTCTCCAAGCACAAATCCACCACCTTGAGAACAAAGCTTTGCTGTCAAGAGGGCATCCATTCATCCCGCCAGCTGGTCCTGGCAGGTCTTTCCAAAGAGAGGATCCCAGTAAGGGGGTGCAATGTGAGATGAAAGATGGAATTTGCTCTAATATCTCTGGCCCACCCCGCACAGGTTGTTAGGCCACTCCCATTCTCTGTGTCACGGCTTGGGGACAGCCCAGAGCATGAGGGCCCTCCCTTACCACAGACTCTGGCTGCTGACCCAGCTCCAAGGCAATGAAAACCACCAAGGAATGAATCCCCAGGCTCGGGAAAAACAGGAAAACCCAGTCACAGGCACCCTGCTTCTTCTGAGGCAGGAGAGGCAGGGCTGAGGTCACTTTACCACCTGCCAGCAAAGGCTCCAATGGGCCTGCCAAGCAGACTTCCAGGCTTTGTTTGAATTGGTCAAGACATATCCTATGTGGTCGGGGAGCAGACACCCAGTGGATCAGATGTGGGATCAGTCGTGACATATCCCACGTGGCCGGGGAGCAGACACCCAGTGGGTCAGGTGTGGGATCAGTCGTGACATACCCCACGTGGCCGGGGAGCGGACACCCAGTGGGTCAGGTGTGGGATCAGTCGTGACATACCCCACGTGGCCGGGAGCGGACACCCAGTGGGTCAGGTGTGGATCAGTCGCGACATATCCCACGTGGCCGGGGAGCGGACACCCAGTGGGTCAGGTGTGGGATCAGTTGTGACATATCCACGTGGCCGGGTAGCAGACACCCAGTGGGTCAGGTGTGGGATCAGTCGTGACATATTCCACGTGGCCGGGGAGCAGACACCCAGTGGGTCAGGTGTGGGATCAGTCGTGACATATTCCACGTGGCCAGGGAGCGGACACCCAGTGGGTCAGGTGTGGGATCAGTCGTGACATATCCCACATGGCCGGGGAAGTGGACACCCAGTGGGTCAGGTGTGGGATCAGTCGTGACATATCCACGTGGCCGGGGAGCAGACACCAGTGGGTCAGGTGTGGGATCAGTCGTGACATATCCACGTGGCTGGGAGCGGACACCCAGTGGGTCAGGTGTGGGATCAGTCGTGACATATTCCACGTGGCCGGGGAGCGGACACCCATGGGTCAGGTGTGGATCAGTCGTGACATATCCACGTGGCCGGGGAAGTGGACACCCAGTGGGTCAGGTGTGGATCAGTCGTGACATATCCCACGTGGCCGGGGAGCAGACACCCAGTGGGTCAGGTGTGGGATCAGTCGTGACATATCCACGTGGGTATCCCACATGGCCGGGGAGCGGACACCCAGTGGGTCAGGTGTGGGATCAGTCGTGACATATCCCACGTGGCCGGGAGCGGACACCCAGTGGGTCAGTGTGGGATCAGTCGTGACATATCCCACGTGGCCGGGAGCGGACACCCATGGGTCAGGTGTGGATCAGTCGTGACATATCCCACGTGGCCGGGGAGCGGACACCCAGTGGGTCAGGTGTGGGATCAGTCGTGACATATCCCACGTGGCCGGGAGCGGACACCCAGTGGTCAGGTGTGGGATCAGTCGTGACATATCCCACGTGGCCGGGAGCGGACACCCAGTGGGTCAGGTGTGGGATCAGTCGTGACATATCCCACGTGGCCGGGGAAGTGGACACCCAGTGGGTCAGGTGTGGGATCAGTCGTGACATATCCCACGTGGCCGGGGAGCGGACACCCAGTGGGTCAGGTGTGGATCAGTCGTGACATATCCCACGTGGCCGGGGAGCGGACACCCAGTGGGTCAGGTGTGGGATCAGTCGTGACATATCCCACGTGGCCGGGAGCGGACACCCAGTGGGTCAGGTGTGGGATCAGTCGTGACATATTCCACGTGGCCGGGGAGCGGACACCCAGGGTCAGGTGTGGGATCAGTCGTGACATATCCCACGTGGCCGCGGGAGCGGACACCCAGTGGGTCAGTGTGGGATCAGTCGTGACATATCCCACGGCCGGGGAAGTGGACACCCAGTGGTCAGGTGTGGGATCAGTCGTGACATATCCCACGTGGCCGGGGAGCGGACACCCAGTGGGTCAGGTGTGGGATCAGTCGTGACATATCCCACGTGGCCGGGGAGCGGACACCCAGTGGGTCAGGTGTGGGATCAGTCGTGACATATCCCACGTGGCCGGGGAGCGGACACCCAGTGGGTCAGGTGTGGGATCAGTCGTGACATATCCCACGTGGCCGGGGAGTGGACACCCAGTGGGTCAGGTGTGGATCAGTCGTGACATATCCCATGTGGCCGGGGAGCGGACACCCAGTGGGTCAGGTGTGGGATCAGTTGTGACATATCCATGTGGCCGGGGACGGACACCCAGTGGTCAGGTGTGGGATCAGTCGTGACATATCCACGTGGCCGGGAGCGGACACCCAGTGGGTCAGGTGTGGGATCAGTCGTGACATATCCACGTGGCCGGGGAGCGGACACCCAGTGGATCAGATGTGGGATCAGTCGTGACATATCCCACGTGGCCGGGGAGCGGACACCCAGTGGGTCAGGTGTGGGATCAGTCGTGACATATCCACGTGGCTGGGGAGCGGACACCCAGTGGGTCAGGTGTTCTCGTGAGGGTGAAACTAGATCAGAGCTGTCAAAAGCTTTGCCAACCTGAACATGCTTCATCAACACTCACTATCACCCATGAGAACCTGAGAGCAGGAAGGTGCCTTAAGGGTCGTCTGGGCCCACCCCTAACGTCCGACACTTTTTGATTTCACAGGCATATAGCTTGTTTTCTTAAGGAAAAAACAAGATGGGGGCAGCTAAGTGGTACCATAGAGAACAGAGCACCGGCCCTGGAGTCAGGAGGACCTGAGTTCAAATCCAGCCTCAGACACATAACACTCACTTGCTGTATGACCCTGGGCAAGTCCCTTAACTCCAACTGCCTCGCAAAAAAAGAAAAAAACAAAATGACCTTAAGGCAGGACCTGAAGAAGAGCAGCACCCTTGATGCAGACATTGCTGGACTTTCCTGACAATCTCCTGTAAAGGATTATGTGATTTTACTGGGGAGGTCACTGGCTTGCTCTGCCCACACCGGGGCTGGTCAGTGAGGACTGGCCCCCACTGTTCTGGCTTCTCACCTGCAGGTTTCCCCCAGGCCCCCAGCACAACATACCAGAGACTGGTGGACCTTAAATGGAAGGAGGAAGTGGGGGGAGTGAGGAGATCCAGGCGGACAGCAAGTCCCCTTCCCAACCTGGGCCTCGGTTTCCTGGCATGGTCCACCAGCTGTGGAGACTACAGATTACAGATTGATTCAGCACACTCATCGCCAGCTGCTGCTGAGCTCTTTGTTCGAAAGCCAAACTAGTCTGCTGGAGGCCGTTGTGACTTGTCTAGACCAGGAGGAAACTTAGGGATGATGTGCTCAGAATCCTTCCTGCTGGTACAGTGATAAGGAGCCCTGGATTTGGAATAGAAAAGCCTGGGTCAAATCCCAGCTCTGAGCCTGGAGCCACATGACTGCCGGCTCTCAGGCCCTCCATCAACTTCCACCCCAAGCCAATTCCTATTTCTAGATATCAGGTTTCTCATCTGTAAAATGGGGATAATTCTGGTACTGCTGACCTCACACCAAAGAGCTTTCTAAAGCTGAAACTATAATAATTCTTCTGGGCATGGTTATGCCAGCAGGTTCTGTCCAGCGTCACACAGCCAGGAAGCCTATACAAGGTCAGCAGCCTTTGGGGATTAACCTTCTGGAGAGGAGAAAAACTGGTCCCTCGGTGTAGTAGTAAGCGGTGGTGGGGGTCGTTATCCCCATCTCTCTGACAGTAGGGGAAACTGAGGTTCAGAAAAGTGAAGGGCCACCATGGAAAGGCTTGGAGAAGGAGCCTCTTGTCCGAGAGTCAACCTAGCTAAGTGCAAGTCAGCAAGTCAACATTTATTAAGCTCCGACTGCGTGCCAGGCACTGGCACACAGACTCACTACTGCCTTGGACAAAAGTTACCATGACCTTAACCTGTCAAAGACTGTTTATTAAGGAATGAAGGGATTGTCATCTGCACTGGGAAAAGGAGTACTAGGGTCGTGATGAAACCACAAGATATCTGAAGTACTGTTACTATTTTATGTTTCATGTGTATACATCTGGACCATCAAATTAAACAACAAAGTTTTCTGATTTAACTGGAGGGGAGGGGTGTGAAGTCCAGCTCTGACATTTACTTCATGGAAGAACCTGTCTCCTCTCAGGACTCAGTTTCTTCTTTTGCAAAATGAGGGGATGGGCTAGATGTTCTCTGAGGTGTCCTCCAGTTTGGATATCATTCGTCCCAAGGTCAGGTGGCTGGTATAACAGTAGACAGAGAATCTAGGAAGACCAGAGTTCAAATTCCACTGCTGATGTTTACTAGCTGGGAGTTGAAGGCGCTGGCAATGGTGCGCTCTAGTCAAGTGATTTTAGCTCTCCAGGTCTGTTTCCTCCAGTGTAAAATGTGGGGGCTGATCTAGGTCAGCAGGTCTCAAAAGGTATCCGAAGACCCCTGGAGGTCCTAAAGACCCTTTTTCACGGGATCAAAACTATTTCTGTAACAGCACCAAGGTGTTATTAAATACAACCACTCAGATTCTCTTCATGTATTTCAACACTTTTCAACAGGCTTCAGAAGCAGACTTTGATTAAACTGGACACTAAAGAGATTAGCAAGTATGTGTAAAACAAGGCCACTTTTCGGCCTGACTCCTTTTGTTTTGGGAAAGCTCTTTTCTTTGTTAAAAAGTTATGTTAAAACGAAACGGGTTTATTATTGTTAAGTGAATATTTTTAAAACTTATCCACTTCAATTTGCCATATGGCAAACACTGATATTACTCACATTAAAAAAAAAGCTCTTTGGGGTCCTCAGTGGTTTTTAAGAGCCAAAATTAGGAGCACAAGCCAGACCCACCGGGCCAGATGACCTCCAAGGTTTCTGCCAGCTCCAAAAGGGGCTTTGGAATCCCTTCACTTTTCCGAGCCTGTTACCTCCACTGTCAGAAAGATGGGGATAAGGATCCCACCCCCACTGCACCGAGGGAGCAGCTTTTCTCCTCTCCGGAGGGTCAGTCCCCGAGGGCAGCTGCCCTCCTGAAGGCTTCCTGGCTGTGTGACCCTGGCCAGGTGACAAACCTCTCTGTTTCAGGGAAGGGGGCAAGGATGGAGGGAGCTTCCTCACCCGGAGTTCTCCCTAGCTTCGGTCCCCGCCCCTTTACCCTGATATCAGGCCCAAATCTGCCCCTCGCCCAGTGCCTGGCACACAGTAGGCGCTTATTAAACGCTGGCTGCCTCGACTTGACCCTAGGGACATGCTCCATCCTAGGACTCGGGATGCTCAGAGGACGCCAGACGCGCACGCGCACGGCACGCAGAAGGGAAGGGGCCCGCGCGCACGCGCAGGAGACGGGGCACGCCGCTTTCTAACGGCGTCACCCAGGGTCTCCAACGTCCCCGCTTTCCCGGCCCAGGCGCTCCGCGGCCCCTACCTTCTTGTGGTACAGCCGGGCCGGAGCCGAGAGCTCCCGGAGCGGCGGCCGCCGAGGGCCCAGGCACATCATCGAGGCCGCCCGCCTCAACCCTGCCACTCCGGCCTGCGGCGCCGCAGCCATGTTGTGTCGGAAGGCGGAACCGCCGAGGGGGCGTGGCCGCGGCTGCGGTCGACGATCGGGGCGGGCTCAACCTAGGCGGCTGAAGGCAAGAGTGGGGAGATGAGGGCGGACCCAGTGGTGTCTGTAGAGCGAGGGGCGGGCTGGCGGAGGGAGGAAGGAGAAGGAGGCTCCGAGCGGGCCTGAGGATGACGGGGGGCGGCCCGAGGCGAGTCCGCGGCGGTCTTGGGGAGCGATGGAGAAGGGGTGGAGATGGGAGGGGAAATTGGGAGGTGAGCGCTTGCGGCCCCGCCCCTCCCAGCGCTCCTCACGTGACTGTGCTCTCCCTGTGGCGGTTCCCGGTTTTGTCCCTCGCCAGGGTGTCCTGACTGGGGGATGGGATGGGGAGGGGGGGCTGCCAGACCCCTGGGCCGGGAGGAGAGAAGAGCTGAGACCTGGGCTCAGACCTGTTGAGGTTTAGGGGCGCTGGGACCCCAAAATCACAACACGGGGGTCCTGTCCCAAAGAATTCCACCCAAGCCTTTCAGCCAGAGACAATGTTTATTTTCTTGGGCAGACTCTTAAGGAGTCTGAACATTAGTGAACTATTGTCTAGATCATAAGAATCGGAGCATCTTAATGGAGACAAGATGGACCTTCCATACAGAAAGACTGTGGGAGGGATCTAGGAGTGGCCAAGTAGTCTCTGAGGTCTTAGAACTCCAAAGACCTGAACCACGTGGCCAAGGGAGAATGGAGCCTCTTCATATAGTTTCTTTATATAAAGCTTTTGTCATCTCCTCACTTATAAAGTGCTTTGCAAACTGAAAAGTGTTATAAATTATAAATTATTATGATAATTTATTGTAACCTGAGGCCATGGATAGATTGTAAATGTGGATGGGAAAAACAAGTGTATTTTATTTTCACTAACTTCTAACAGAAGTTATGTTACAAAAGTAACAGTTATGCCTGCTTTAGGCAACATTGTTCTGAGAAGAGTCTGTGGGCTTTGCTAGATTGCCAAAGGGGTCCAGGCAAGGCTAAGGCCCTCTGATCTATGCCTGTTTATAAATCTGTAAACATTTAGTGTCTATGGTGTTTGGGCACTGTGGCTCATTAGGTACCAGGGGAAAAAGACAAGAAAGCACATTTTATCTGGGGAAAACCAAGGGATACAAGCTAGCTAGAACACCACCAGTCTTATTTTATGGATTCCAACCCAGGTCCTCTTGCTTTAAAGCCTGAGGTCTTGACTCTCACCTTACCTCACATCACACCCAACACTGATTTTACAGGGAAGGATAATGAGGCCGATCAGAGCCAGATGCCTCTCAGAGTGGGGAGATGACCTTGGCTTCTCATAGGAATCGCAGCTCTGGCAGGCCCCACAAGGTCTTAGCCTTGACTAAAGGGCACCCATTGACAGACTAGCCTGTTATTGTATTGTCACAAGAAGGCCTTCCACCAAGAGAAGCACTTTTTTTTTGGCTGCAGCAAATTACAAAGAAAATCTGTTAAATTTAGAGGGGTTGTAGATCACAATAATAGTGATAACTCAAATTTCTACAAGACTCCAAGGTTTGCAGAGTGCTTACCTCTGTTTACCTACCATGACTTTGTGAAATAGGTCATTTATGACCTTGTGTCTGCCTTGGGGAAGACCCTCTGGGTCGGCTCTACAACATCCCTTGGCATTTTCATAACTTGTGTTCTCCTGGTACAGCCCAGGCCACAGTGGGTCTCTGTGAAGGCCTAAGATGGCAGCCTTAAAAATTAGGGTTGTAACCTCTTTTGTAATAGGCCTTCCCTTTCTGGATATTACATTCCCTTCATTAGGAACAACACTGTGTGACTGAGAAGCAAAAATGTCTGTGTGGATGAATAATGGTATCAATATTTGCAACCCAAGGACCCCTGGTCCTTGCCATCTGCCCTGCGTCTGGACTCTCTTCCATGTGAGCTCCTTCCTTAGAATGGGAGCTCTTTAACAGTAGGTACTGTCTTTTTCTTTTTTCCTCTCAGGCATTAGCACAGTGCTTGGCACAAAGGATTTGCATCATAAAGCTTTTTCATTCATTCAAATGATCTTACAGTAAATAATCACAAATGGATTTTATTGATATTTGTTCTTAATGAATGATGATTCATTGAATAACAGTGTTGTCTCTTTGTGTATGATGAGCCTGTGATAGGATGGAGAGCACCTGCCTGGCTGGGAATAAGTAGCTGTGGACAGGAGGCTTCCTCTGTTAGAATGTAAGGGCTTTGAGGCAGGGACTGTCTAACTTGTACTTTTCTTCCCAGCCTTTAGCACAAAGCCTGGTACATGGTAAACCCTTTAAATGCTCGACCTCATTTTGCTCTCTTATCTATCTACCTATTTCATCCAGCTATCTCATGCATCATCTATATCTCACCTCTATCAATCTCTCTAGCCGGTCTAATCAATCTCTTCCATCTGTCTATATCTATCTGCCTATCTCATCTATTTCTCACCTGTCTATATCTGTCTATCATCTCTATGCACATGTATGTATTGTGTCTATCAGCCAGGGGTGGGGAACCACATGTGGCCTGAAGGCCGAAGGTTCCCCACCCCTCAATCTAATTTATCTATCTATATCTATCTACCTATCTTATCTATTCATCCATCTCGCCATCTCGTCTCTATCTCACCTATCTGTATCATCTCTATCCATATCTGACCATCCATCCATCCATCCATCCATCCATCCACCCACCCACCATCCATCCATCCATCCATCCATCCATCCATCATCTATATCTGTCTACCTATCTTATCTATTCATCTATCTCGCCATCTCGTCTATATCTCACCTATCTATCTGTATCATATCTATCCATATCTATCTATCCATCCATATCTACCTATTTTATCTATTCATCCATCTCGCCATCTCATCTATATCTCACCTATCTGTATCATTTCTATCCATATCTATTTATCCATCCACCCATCCATCTGTCCACCCACCCATCCATCCATCCATCCATCTATCTATCTATCCACTATCTAAATATCTCATGTATCCACCTCTCTCTTTCTCTCCATCCATCCATCTCTTTCTCTTCCTTTACATGGCCACCACCTTGATTCAGGCTCTCATCACCTTTTGCCTAGATGACAATTGTGACAACAGCTACAGTGGCCAGAACACTGGGCGTGGTGTCTAGAAGATCCTGTCCTGCCTCAGATGCCTGTGACTCTGGAGCAAGTCATTTAGTCTGTCATCCTCCACGTCCACGTGTGTACGATGGAGTGATAATAGCTGTGGCATTTACCTCCCAGAATTGTTGGGAAGAACAAAGGAGCTCACGCATATAAAGCACTATTTAAAAGACCTTTTACTGCGGCAGAATTCTGATCATGTTTAAAAATAGATCTTACTAATGTCTTTTGTGTTTATATCCCCTTCATTTCTGTAGTGATCCCTGGCCTTGCCTCACCTCCTCATGCTCCCCAGACCTGAGCTTTCCCTGGTAAAAGAGAAATGATCCCCACCTAACCCATCATCAACTTCTCTGATAGAGGTCTGTTCTTTTAAAAAGCAGGTTTCCCCAAACCTTTAATGATCCCCATTGCCTGTAGGATCAGTCACATATTCCTTAGCCTGACATCCAAGGTCTTCACAAGCATCTCCCTCCCCTCCCACTTTTCCAGCTTCCTTCCAAACTACTCCCTGTTGTGAGATTTTATTCCTCACATAAGCTGTTCCCCTAGTCCAGTGTGTTCTTTTTGCCTCTTAGACATTTTTTCTTCCTTTAAGGCTCAGCAATTTCTTCAGAGAAGCCCCCCCTGATTTGCTCAGATGTTAGTTTTCTCTCTTTCCTCAAATTACTTTGTGCTACTGTGTTTGTGAAGGTAGAATGTAAACTCCAAGAGGTCCGGGACGATTTTGGTTTTTAGCTCCAGCACTGCACTTTGTTGCTTAATTTACTTGTCTGTTGAACTGAATTGGAGGACAATTCCTTCTGGAGAATGTGACCTGTGTAAGCATCTGGGGTAAGAAATAGAATGTTGTCAGGTAAGAGCATTGTTACCTCCAGGGAGCATGCCTTAACAGGTCCCTGATAATATTTTTTCTTTTGTTGGGAGCAGAGCGGTAGTCATTAAGATGAAAAGAGTAATAGGGATGCCCTTGCCTTTTACTGAGTGAGCCAAAGAAGAGGAGAATGGGATGGAAGCCATTCTTACTCTTGGGACAATTCTACAGTTTATGCACAGTGGAACTTTTAGGAGCCTCTAGTCCAATCTTCCCATGATCAGTTCACTTCAATAACCACTTACGTGCCAAAGAAAGTTTAGTAACAACTGGAGTGATTAAGAAAGGCTGCGGGTTGAGGTGCCCTTTGAGCTGGGTTTGGAAGGAAGCTAAGAATTCTAAGAGGTGGTGAGAAGGGAGTGCATTCTAGGCATTCCTATTCAAAGCATGGAGGTGGGAGATCAGAGAGTCCTAGGTCTGAAGCTGGAAGGGACCTTAGAAGCTCATCTAGTTCAGCCCCCACCCCCATTTTACAGTCAAGGAAACCGAGGGTCCAAGAAATGAAATGGCTTGTTCAAAGTGTCAAGTCCTGAAATAAAGCTGTAAGTTGAGAAATAAAGCATCTTTAATTGAGATAACAGGGTAGCAAACCTACCACCCTGGGGGATGTCCAGTGGATTTCCCAAACTAGAGGCCCCATGGAAAAATCTATTAGATTGTTAGGAGCTAAAAAGGAGGAGGCTGCGTGAGGTAGCAAGGCCTGGTCATGAGATCCCAGCTGCCCCCGGCAATCTGGGCAAGGAGAACCACTTCATTCTGGCTGTTTTGCCCTTCATGCCATGAATTCAAAGGCCTAGCTCCAACTTGACCCCCACAAAGCAAGATCTCGGGATAGGACTTAAAAGTCTTGACTCAGCACAACCTAATCTCTTTATCTTAAGGGTAGGAATGGAAGGATGTTACTGGAATGTTGCCATTGTCAGGGTGACTAGGAGGTTGGGGCCATCCATATTACAGTCAGTATGAATAAGTT